GCGGCGACTCTCCTGCCGCTCGCTATCGCGATAGTGGGTGCCGTTCGGTTTCTGTCACCGTGTGCGTCCGGGTGTTAACATTGTGTTTTCCAAGTGGTCGGGGCTCACTGGGTGCGTTGATAGCGGTCACTGGTTTTGAACTGACAAAACCTGCTTGGATTGACCAAAAGGTACCTTTGGTTTGGACAAAAAAAGTCCAGGTGGCTCTATTTTTTTTTTTTTTTCTGTATCAAGTACAGTGATAGAACAAGAAGTAACGGGCACAAACTTGAACATAGGAAGTTCCATCTAAACACGAGAAGGGCCTTTACTTTGAGGGTAGTGGAGCACTGGAACAGGCTGCCCAGAGAGGTGGTGGAGTCTCCCACTCTGGAGACATTCAAAACCCGCCTGGACGCTGTCCTGTGCAACCTGTTGTAGGTGACCCTGCTCTGGCAGGGGGGTTGGACTAGATGATCTCCAGAGGTCCCTTCCAGCCCTGACCATTCTGTGATTTAGTGAAGTAATATGCTTAGTGTAGATTCTCTTGGAACATACAGGCTTCTGTAATGTCACTATATGAAACACATAAACAAAACAGGGGAAACTGTGTTTTGGCTTTCATTTGCATACAATGGAAACCTCCAGCAGTCACGCTGAGGTATGCATCTGTGGGGAGAGCTTTGTAAAACCCTCCCCCTTCTTAAAGCTCAGCAGAAGCCATCATCTTCCTGTCCTGGACAAAAAGGTGTGAGAGTTTAACTGTCAGGCCTTAATCAAATTAGAACTTATTTAGAGTGGAAAAACATTAAATACCACCTGTGATGGTGGAAATTTGCTGCTCAGTTACTGTCTAGCTTTGAAAATGTTTAAACTCTATAGGAACCACAGTTTATGATCTTATCGGTTTTCTAGACACGTGAGAACTCTCCTGTGGGAGCACAGGACTGGCTGCATCCTGGCAGAGCCGGGCCGCCTGGCCGTCAGGTTGCCAGAGCCACGCTCCATCCAGAAATGAGGTGCTCGCTTCAGAGTCACAGTAGTGTCTTGTTCAGGTAGCAATTCTTGGAGCAGACCTAAAATAGTGGAAGCCTTGTCTTTTTTTTTTTCAATCTTTCAAGTGCAGCAATGGCAGCATTGCTGTAAGTTAGGGACTGAAGCAGGTACCGGGGCATGCTCTTCTCCTTCGCATAACTTTTACTCGGGGAGATTCAAACAGAACTGCGCTAGAACTGTGCTTCCCCTGAGAACCATGCTGTAATCACAGGGTCAGTTCAGAGAATACGAGAAGATCCATTTTCCATTGCTAGCATTTGGACTAAGTCTATTCTTATCCCCGTATGCCTGACTCCTGCTACCAGGAGTAGTCATGCCTGTCTTTTTTCTCTTCCCCCCGCCTCACTTCTTGTCTTTGCCTTCCTGGATCAGTTCTTCTTATTTGCTCTTGTTCTAAGATGTCTTTATTTGGTCTCCTCCCTGTTCTTTATTCCTCTCCCCCGTAACGCCTGCGAAGTGGGTTTCCTTTAGCTTCCTTGTACATCTGATGAGGTCAGAGTTGTTTCTGTCTGACATCTGAGACTTTACCTTCCATAATGGAATTAATATACCTGTGGAAGTGAATGTTAACTTGAAATAGTTTAGTATTTGCTTCTTTTCCTGAGGTGTCAGACAAGATAGCTGTCCGTCAACAATGCTTGGAAAATGATTCATCTCCTAATCCTTTCCAGTTTGGTAGTGCTTATGGCAAAAGCACAATTTGAACTACTGAATCTTCTCTCATTTCTGTCATCTGATGGCTGCCCGTAAGAGATTTTGGCTTGTGTGGTTCTACCTCCCATCTTTCAACTGCTGAAACTCTGCTACTGTACAGAGAAAAAATTGAAGAAATGATCTGTCTTTGTCAAGGAAGCTTTTAAGTACTGGTCTTCAGGTGAAGAGCTGGAGTGGACAACTGAGAACTTGCTGACAAGTTACTTTTCAGCTCTGAGTGGGGCGTCTGAGAAGCTGTACTTAATACGCCCCATCTTTAGCTTTTTCTCTGTGCAGCTCATGATGAGCTTTCAAAGTAGCCTTCAAAAATGTTTTGAGGCATGTATTCTAAGTATCTTGCTAGGGCTCTAGGGTTCTGGATATTTATTTTTTTTCCATTGTTGTTGGTTTTGTTTGTAATTAACGTAAGTTCTTAATTACATCAGTCCCCTTTGATCTCTAAGTATCTGCTCCGCTTATCAATGAAGCATTGATTTGAAAAATAATAGAGGCATCTGAACTGGTACAAGCTTTCTAATAACCTAAAACTGTATATTCGAGATATTAATTGCAGATCATTTTATTATGAAGGTGATTATAAGCACAGAATTTAAATGCTGAACTTCCTCCCAAATTGTAACAAAACCTATTTTTATCCGCTAAATTTTATTTTTTTTAAATGGTGTATTTTAAGTCAAGTTAATAATAGCAGCAATGCGTTAACTGTATTAGTTTTGCTAGATTTATGATGAGAAGTTTTGTAGTTCTGTCCGTTAAAACTCCAGAAATCCCTTGGAATACATCCCTCATGTGAGAACAGAATATAAATGAAAGTCAGCATTTTTATATGGAGGTTGCTTGTTGGCCAAGGTGCAATCACTTCATAGGATTTTAAGAGTTTAGCTATTTTGGTTCTCTTAAAATGGAGCCAGATTTAATGCTCTGTAGTTCACAGAGGGAAAACTTCGTACTGTTCAAAAAAGCGTTTCACTTCTTCTGTGGCAGACTAACGTTTCTAGATCAGAAGTTTGCAGAAGATACTGAAATAGCATTTGTAAGTCAAAAGTTTGCAGGAAAAGACTTCTTAGTGTTGTAGCAGTGGGTGCTACTCCCTTTGCAAACAAAGCTACAGCAAAACAGGTTTTTCTCGTAGTGTTTATATTCTGATGAAATCTCCTTTCTCCAAGTGAAAAATGATTCTATTGAACTTTGTAGCTGATTCTGCTAATCCTGAATTGAGGTAATTAAGTTACATCACCTATTAGGATTATCTGTAACTAATAACGATGAATGTATTTGTATTTCTTGGTCTTCTGTATGTTTGGTAGTTTAAATTGAAACTGTAGTATAATTGAAACTGGCTTTTTGTTTGTTTTGTTTTTTAACTTTTCCAGCATTATCCATGTTTGGAACAACTGTTGGTCTTTATGGGATACCCTGGTGTGAGAAATCCCTGCTGTTAACTGTCTTAATGTCAGTTATTGGAGCTTCCATGGGAATTCTAGACACAGGTAAGGGACCACGTGGTCCGATAGTTCCTTCACCAAAGTAATTGGAAAGTTCAAGCTCACCAAAACTGTTGCTGGTATTTCATGTGCCGCATCTTGAAAGAAAAGAGGGGAGCTGTTTTACTTGGCCGGGATTCTTGGATTATTCTGGTCCTGAGACTTTGGGTGTTTGTGTCTCTGTAACGGGCCGTCCTTAAGGGGCGTGGGGAGCAGGGTATCTCTTGCTTCCTGGAGAAGATAAATACACGCTTCGGTGGGCAATTACAGATGTAAAGAAAGTGTCATGTGTTCTTTTGACAGTGTTTTATTTAAATTGCTCATCTGCAGGAAGCTGGTTGGGTTACTGTTCGTTAGTGCCAGCTGGAACTAAGGTAGTCCTGAGAAGCCCTGGTGTTTGAGAGAGAGATTCTCACAGTTGCGGTGTTGGAGAGTTGGCCACCTAAACCTGGCCAGGTGTCGCGAATGAGTGATTTTGGATCCTACACAGCTTCGAGGTAGCAGCAATTAAAGGTTTATTAACACTGTTACGGTAAATCACAGGATTAGGTTGTATAATATTTAACGATATTAACAGAGTGATTTAACAAAATTTGGTATAATCAAAACAGCGACTTAATTAGAGATTCAAGAATGGCAAGGTTCACATAAGATTTAGGACAGGGTTTCCTAAATCAAATCACACACAGACGGACAGGTATAGAGGTTAACCTATGGTTAGAAAAAGGAGATTTTTCTCTTTTTTCAAATTGTAGTAAATTATTGGTACCAAACAATCTTTGAACCTCGACAAATCTAATTGTAGTGAATTACTCACTCTTCTCCTTTCTTGACATTTGTCAGCAGACAGTCTTTGAACCCTTCTCCTTCATCGTTATCTTGTCATCAGATGATCTCTGACCCTCGTGAAATCTACCCTGACAAGTGTCTCAGCTCACGGGGGAGATACTGGGTCACAGTCTGCTGCAATCTTGGAGAGTTCAAAGTGTCTCACTTAGGATCGCTATTTGTAGGATCATGAGATGATTGATTTTGGTCAGTGTTTTTCCATTTTTGGCCACAATTCTTGTCGGGTAATTCTGGTACCTTCCAGATCGGGCTACGATCCAGGCAGCAGGAGTTTCAGGTATGGTTAGGGAGTGCCAGATTGTCCCAACTCACTGCACTTGTAACCAAGACAAGAATAGAATGTTGGCTTGCCCTGACGTTGCAACGTGGCCCTGGGGGGCTGCACCACCACACCAGGTGGTGTTTGGGGAGTCACAGCAGGCATGTACTGCTGTAGCTCACTTACAGAACCATGTCGTCCATCTCCCTGAATTAAAGAATATTTGCTTGACCAGCCTCATTTAGGTGTTTGGGAATATAAATTTATTCTGTGCCACAAGCTGTGCATCTGTGGCATGTGCATACTGCAAACGGCCTGGAAAAAACACTTTTGCAGGAAACCTGTTGAAAACCAATTTCTTAGTAGAAGCTTCCGATTGGAGGAAGATGTGCCAGTGAAGCTTTACAGCAAATGTCTACAGGTGCGGTTGGAAACGTCAGTGATACCAGAAGTATGAAAAAGGACTTCCCACGGAAGCTAGTTCATCAGGCGTGGCGTAGAAAGGATGAGTTAGTGATGGCTGGCTCTAGCAGGCAGTTTGGATCAGGAGGCGAGGCCACCTCAAGAGACCTAAGCACGCTTAGAGCTGACTGGGTAACACATACTTGCAGACGGGGATCAGGAAACAACCAAGAACATGTCAGCGGTGGAGTGTTCTGGTGTTGCTGTAGGAGGCGGTGGTGAAGCCGCAACAGGCAGCCACTCACCCGGCACCTCTCCAGTGACGTGCCAGCAGTGTGCTGACTTTTTTGGCTTACTCAGGGAGCCTGTGGTTGCTTCCTAGCCAGCAAGGTATGACTGGATCTGGTTGACCAGCTTCAGGGCAGGCTTATTTCTGAATAAGAGCTGGCTGATGAATTAGCCTAGCTGTACCAACAGCTCTGGAAGCATCCCAGCCAGGGCCTGGTTTCGGTGGCCTGGCTGATAGGCAACACAGAGGAGTGATGGGTGCACATGTGAAGCATCTGACCTAATTCTGCGGAGCTTGAGGGAGCTCTGTTAACACTGAAGAGAGCATGATACAGGATCCAGTAGTGAAAACGATGGTTTTGCGTGGCCCAGGTTAACCTGAGTGCAGAGGTGTATTTGTTGCCTCTGGTAGGATCGTTATACATGGCACTTAGTTTAAAAATTTCTTCATATGGGAAAATCCTGTCGGCTTATTGTGAGAATGCCTTCAGCGGGTAGGTGTGCTGCTTAGAAGTCAGACCTTTGAGGCAGGGAGACTTCCCACCAGGAGAAACAAAGAGCAAGGCGGTAGAGTGTAACTGAATTAATTTGGAAGCGTGTTAGTGCTGCGTGACAAGGGTTGCTGTACTGTAGCACAGGAATTTAGTTACTGTTCGTATTTTCCTGCATTCTTCTCAAGGACTACTTAAGGATGTCTCTCTGAGATGTTATTTTCTAGCATTATTGTTGATCTGAGGGTGTTGTAGTTTGGTCTGTGCAGTGGTATTATTTTAAACCTTTTCACTTCTGGAAAGTCATTTGAACGCAGTTGGGGTAGTCCCAGCCCATCAGAAGGAAGTGATTCTTGATGTTTCCCAGGATGTTGTTTAATGAGGCCCCTGATTCTTCGCGTTGTGCATTGTAGCTTTTAAAACTTACAGAAATGAGAAGCAGTTAAATTTGCTCTTTTGAATAAAGGCTGACATATGCTGCAAATTGTCAAGTAGGGTAATTAAGTACAGCCATTGTTGCTGGATGAAGCCAGTGTGTGGCTCTTCATTTTCACTGCTGTGAATCCCCTTGTAATGTTCAAGTGATCATGTGGGTTTAAGGTGCTTATGGGCAGAATTTCAGTTAACTACAATTTTCCTTATTGTATTTGCTAAACCTGGTATTATTGCAAATTGAATTAATAGCACAGGTTATGGTTGGGTTTGGTTTGTCTTTTTTTTTTACCTGCTATCTGGTTTCAGACTGAACTGACTGAATCCTCCTCTTTCGGATCTGCAGGTGGCAATGTGCTGGCACTGAATACCTGGGGAGCAGAGGCTGGGCCACACATGCAGGCCTTACACTTCAGTTTTGCTGCCGGCGCGTTTGTGGCTCCGATCCTGGCTAAAATGGCCTTGGGAGGCTCCGAATCTAAAGACTTTCCAGTGGCTGAAAACACAAACCAGTCTGTCTGGAGGTCTGTGCCGACAGCATCAGCTGCGTCAGCACTGAAACACCGTCTTGGTGCAGACTTTTTGTGGTCCTATGTTGTCATAGGGACCTATCTTCTGTTTGTTTCGTTCTTCTTTTTTATTTTGTATTCAAAGGGCAGCTCAGCTCGAGACAAATCCAAGGCTTCTTTGCAGAAGTGCATGTTTGCCAAATACCACTATGCCCTTATCACTCTCCTGTTCATCTTCTTCCTCTTCTACGTGGGAGCGGAGGTCACTTATGGCTCTTACATATTTACTTACGCAAAGGTCTTTGCCGAGATGAAAGAAAACGAAGCAGCCGCTTTGAATTCTGTTTTCTGGGGTGCGTTTGCCGCTTGCAGAGGAGTGGCAATATTCTGTGCCGCGTGCTTGTACCCTGGCACCATGATCCTGCTGAGCATCGTAGGCTCTGCCGTCTCCTCTTTGTGCCTGGCCTTCTTTGCGAGGTACCCAGCCTCCCTGTGGGTTGGAACCGCCGTGTACGGAGCGTCAATGGCCACCATCTTTCCCAGCGGCATTTCCTGGATAGAACAGTACACGGTCGTGCAAGGAAAATCGGCTTCTCTGTTTGTGATCGGCGCCGCGCTGGGCGAGATGTGCATGCCTGCCGCCGTGGGGTATCTTCAAGGGAGGTTTCACCACGTCCCTGTGGTAATGTACACCGCCGTGGTGACTTCTGCAATGACAGTTATACTCTTCCCGCTGATGTACAAATTGGCCAACTCTCCCGGTGAGAGCGACTTGAAAGAAAGGAGTGAGAGCGAGGACCGGAAAGCTTTGTTGTCAAACTCGGGGCTTAATGAGGACGAAGAGGATGAGGAGGATGCGGGAGAGTGGAACGAAGCAGACTTTGAGGTGATAGAAATGAATGACACACTGAGAAACTCTGTGATAGAGACCTCCCGAAAGATACCAGGGGACTCTCCAACCCCAGTCTCTCTCCAGCCCCATCTGGACGATGTATTGTGCAATTCTCCAGTGGTTGCTGGGGGCTCCCCTGGGAGAAAAAACGTGAATGTTGACCGGGAGAAGAACGATTAAAGTAAAAACTGACTTTCTTTTCTTTTTTTTTAAAGGGAAATGCAATTGAATTGCAGCTGTTCTTGAAAAGTGGTTCAAGAATCCTTTTATAGCAGCGCAGAGCTCAGCGTGTTCACTTCTGTTTGTCTGCCCCTTTCTCCTCTTTCATTTTCAGTCTACAGCGATGTGTCTCAGAGCGGGAGAGTCCACCGTGGTGTGAATGGGGTAACGTGATAAAATGTATAGACTATACTGAGAATGTTAAAACATGAGATGTTTTCTAAATGTGAGGAGTGCATTTAAGTAATATACGCTGTAACGAGAACTAACTAGGAAAGAAGGGGACTGCTCGGACCACTCAGTTTTTTGCAGGTGGGTGGAAGGTGCGGTTCTGAGGTGCTTGGTCACAAAACATCTCGAGAGAGGAGAGAAATGTGTTACCTGTGATGCTGAACTTTCTTATCTATCTCGTGAAAGAAGAATGTTTCTACTGCGTTGGAAGTTTGTGTGACGTAAACCAGGAAATCAAGTCAAATTTCAGGTGATGCCCAGTAGCTGTAAAGCAGTGGGGCTATTGGCAAACTATATAATTTCCTGGTTCTGTCACTAAGATGAGAAAAAATTAAAAATTAATTTTTAGGAGTGGAACCATGCCTTTGGGTCATTTAAAAGTGGAGTATGGGAAGGGGGACAAAATGGGTTGTATTAATCTGCTGTAATGCTTAATTCTGATTTACGAGTTGAACAGTGATGACAAATTTAAATAGGCTAAAGTACTTGTGATTGTATTTATGATTTTAATTACTGCACTACCAGTGAGATCAAGAAATGTATGAAGAAGATAAGATTATGTATAAACAGATTACTTAATATATGGTATTGACATAGAGCTGTGATATTTTTACGCCAGTTGTTTAAATTACGGTTATAATGACTTTTCTGGCTTCCCGTGCCAAGACTTTCACGTAGTGATGTGTTAAAATGAAAATCTGCAAATGAGAGGGAATTACTGCTGTGACAATCCTTTCAGGTTGCGCTGCACAATCACCTGCTCCGGGCCAGTTGGGTTGGTGCCATTTGGGTTTTGTTTCTTTGGGTTGATGATGATGTCCAGGCAGACTTTTCCTAGTGGAGCAGCGCTGGTTTGTATTTGTAGGTCCATTGCTGTTAAGGAGCAGTCCTGCCAGTGAGCCCTCCCCAGTAAGAGCAAAAAAAAGCAGCAGCTAATGGCAAAAATCTGACTCTGAAACAGTAGTTGTGCAATTTGTCTACTTGACACTCCAGAGTTGTAGGTTAAGTATTTTTTTTTTTAAGGCTGTGTGATCAGAATGTGCTCGTTTGTTGGTTTTGTTTTTTTTTTTTTTTTTTACTTTGCACTGTTATGAGTATTTTTCTTGCTACAAAGTTTAATTTACTAACAAAAGCCCTCTAGATGTAGCATAGCACAGGACCTTAGATATTCAGCGTATTTTCAAGTCTGTTTTTGTTCCCCCTCTTGTCCTCTGAGTGTGCAGCTTAGAACTTTGTGGCCTCTTCCTTTCTTCTGAGAAGTTAGTAAGAAGCAGGAATCAACTTGTAGTGAAAATGCTTGTTTTTTTGCATCTTGCCATGTTGAAGGGCCTCCCTCTCCCTCTGCTGTCGGCACTTAAATGTTGTGGGTTTTTTTTGTCCGATTCCTTTTTTTTTTTCTCCTTGTGTGTACATGCACTTCCGTGGCATCTTTTCTAGTGCGATGCATGGACCTGCACTTTAAAATACGGACTTGTTTCACTTGCTACAGAAGGATTCTTTTCTTTGCTTTAAGTAACGGTAAAAGCTTTTAAATATCAGGCCAAATCCTGTTCTAGGTACACGTGACAGCGGCATTTGATGAACAAGAGGAGTGGGTCTGTATGGCCTTGTGTGTTTCGTTGGTTCTGCACAATAACAAATGAAGTGGTGTGGCAGAGGTGGTGACGCAAGTGCGCACAGATGAAACCTGCGTTTCTGCAACTGTCCTTTTCCCTCCCGCGGGCTACAGTAACTGCGTGGCGTGTGTGGAAAGCAGCGGGACAAATCCCGCTGGTGGATTGGGAAAGGTGGGATTTGATAACTGCTTCTGCTCTGCCTTTTTGTGGGAGTTTTTCCCCTCAGTGGAGGGCCAAATTTCTTTTGGCCAAAACTGGGTTTAGCAGGAGGAACTGGTGCTGTGGCAACTCCCCACCGTAACCACAAGCCATAGGCTTTACCTGAATTGATGGCGATGTAAAAAAAAAAAAAAAAAAAAAAAAAAGTTTCCCCATACATGACATCACATTGCCAGAAGAAAATGGGTTTAAGAAACACACCTGGCAACCACGAAAATTTTAAATAGCCCTCAGTTCATATGCTTATCTTTGGAATGAAATTCCAAATTGGAATGTCCTGTAGGTAAGATTGTTCTCAGGGATAGTTTATGCAACTTGCATAATCAAGTACTAAAAAAGCAGAAAAAGAAACTAACGCCACATTGGGAAATATGCTGTAACCTCTTTGAATCTTATCTACTTATTGCTTATATATGTGCACTTGTTTGTGTTTGACTAAAGTCTTCCCAACAAATGTAAAAATACTGTGCAAAACAAAGATTTATTTTTTTTTTTTTAACTGGCTGTATTAATTCCTGCACGAGTCCCTTGAATCCATCCCCATTTTCCCCCTTAAAAGCAGGAGGCCTGTGCAGTAGGAATGGAGCAACGGCCTGGAATGCCAAAGTCAGAGCAGCCTTTTTTGCCAAAAGTACAGGCTCCAAAAAGCAGTGGCAGGAAGACAGAGTGGAACTCACGTAATTATCTTAAATCGTCTGATTGATCCATGGAGGCCTTTCTCTGGGTGACATCTAAATTTTGAGTTAGCTTAGTGAGCGCTTAAGAGCCTTCACTGTCTTAATTCTGACCTCAAACTTGAAATGGACTATGCTTAACAGAACTTGTTCTCCTCATCCCCTAAAAACATGCTTTTAATAGCAGGGGCTGCCCTTTAATGAAAATGAAATGTTTAAAGCAATTTAAGATTAAAACAGCTCTAGACATCCTTGACGTTCAAGGCCGAAGCTTTCCTAGTTCTTAGATTTTGGTGTTCCTCAAGGCTTGTGTTTAGACAATGAATGTTAGTTGTCACGTGTTTAAATTTCCTTCCACAGTAAATTGCTTCCTGACATATACAGTTAAAGTGAGGATCTACTTACAGTGCCTTTTAAGTTACAGATCCTCCAGAAAGCTTAAACACTTAAACTTACATGTTACGATGGGTTGAAATTACTTGAAGTAAACTGTATTACTTTACCATTGCCTTGCTTATGCTAGAAGTCATCTCTGTGTTCAGGACAAGAGCTGTGGTCGGTGGATTAGGTATCTGAAATTATTAGGAATCCTGTTTTTGTCCATAAAAAGAGGGATGGGTTGAAGATGAGCGCTCGCCCCTTTACTCCGGTGTTAGAGGTAACCTCTTGCAGTTAAACATCATTTAATATTTTTATTTCTCCCCAAAGCACTGCCAAATGCTGGATTGTACCGCACGCGCTACCACCTTCCTCCTGGCATTTGCACTTCTATTGTGTGCGCGACCAATGCTAGAATGCAAAAGTAGGCAGAGTTTTGTGCCTTGATGGGTTTTTTTTTAATTTTAGTTACTTTGCATAAAAGCACATCGCAATCTGTGGGTGTTCTATTATATATTTAATAGTTTTTCTTCTGCTTGGTGTGGGTTTACATTGTACTGTATCATGTGAAATTCAATAGACTGACTTGTGTCTTGAATGTAATAAATTTTTGACTGGAGAAGGCACTCAGGTTCCTTGATGTAAATAAAGTTTTGTTCTATTTTTCAAAGCTACTCTGGACTTCTAAATTTAAAACTTACTCCCGTTTTGGCTAACGGAAAACTGGAAGTGTTTCCCTTATGGTTTGGGGAAGGCCTCCAAGAACCGATACCGGGGTTTTAGATCCCAAAGCTTAAGCTGGAAACTCTTTTGTGGATTCTTAAGTTATTTGAGCAGTCTTGTTCACATTTCTAGTTGTGTGCCAAATGAGGGAAACAAAGGTGCCCGCAATTGAGGGTAAATATAAAAAAAGCGTATAATTTTTACCATATCATTTTATTCAACTTTAATATGGTTTCCATTATTAACTTCTAAAACAAAATGATTTCCAGTTTAGAAAACAATGCACTGACCACATAATTCCTTTTCCATTTTATACAGTTATACAAATATTCTAAATACACATTTTGTCAAGATGGTGGCAAATAAGATTTAACTGTACAGTACATAAGGAAAGAAAATATTTTAAGCATATTTAGAAGCAATAGAAATGTCTATACAAAACAAGCAAAAATGGAATAAAATTTTATATTTAAAGTATTGCAACAGTCCCACAGGTTTGTAACAAAAATGTCTTTGCACAGTTCCTCACAATGCCCCATTAATAGCTAAAGCAAGACAGCAATTTTTAGAAAATAATGTTTCAAAATGCTACACATGGTACTACTGCTTGCACAGTCTGATCAAAATAACAATCTACTTGGAATCGAGCAAAACTTAGGAGGAGATATACCAACCGACTTTAAAATTATCTGTATAAAAGTCATTGCACATTATTTTACTCAGTTGTTTGAAAAGTAAAAAAGTGTATTTACAAAATATTTCGCAGACAAAATTATAAAGTGAATGGATAATATATAAGTAACACGTCTTGATACTGACAGTTCAAGAACACACACTAATGGGTTTGTTGTTTCAAGAGGTTTTCAGTGCTCCTTCCTCCAGGAAGTAAACTTGACTTCTACTTTGAAATGGATTTACAAGATGTTACACGTAGCTATTTCAACATCAGCATTATAAAACAGTATGTTAGAAACATGAAAGAAAGAAGAAATTTGTACATCTTAAAAAGTGAGCTATTCATAGGTCAACAAATGTAGTTTTTATCTTTTTAGTTAGGTTAAGCGTTCATTATTCTTCAGATAATAAACCCAACAGTTAAAATGGAAATCCTGGACTAGAT